TATGTCTGATTCTAATTAAATAACAAATCATTTAGCTTAATTCTGCTCTTCTGTCTTCTTTTGATGTCTTCTTATATTTTTCTTTGTAACACCCCACATCATCTCTAATGCCACTGATTTATGCAATTGCTTTTTTGTGCTTTTCTTTTTTCTGTCTCTACTTAATTCTTCCATCTTCCACTTTTCGTTGTTCTGCTGTTTCTATAACAACCGCAGGGTCATTTTTCAGTCTCCGCGCTTCACTCTTAATCCTGTTCATGCGACACTCGGCTCTTATTTTCTTGCTGCTTTTTCCTGCTGCGCTCTATATATTGCTTGATTACACCCTCTCGTTCTGAAAATATATTTATATCTTAATGTCTTTTTCTCTATATCTTCTGTCTGTCCACATTATTCGGTGCACAGTCATACGCGCAAAGGTCTTTTCTCACCTCGCTACTTGTTTTTGTGACGCCAAATAGGAATTTGAATTTTTTTTTTACAGCAGGTATCAAAGCAGACACAAATGAGAGCAAGTCTTTGGCTCCAGCCCTGAAATTACTCCTCTGCTTCCCTGCTGTGACCAGCTAGCACTGATGTGTGCTGTGCGTTTGTGGGTGGAAGGGTGGGTGTATTGATGAGGACTGTATGGGACCTCGCTGTGTTTTACCACTGTCACTATGATTGCTGTTTACTGTGGATGCAGATTGCACGGCACTGATTATGATTACTAGTTGAAATGTGAAGATGGCCTCTGCAGTTTCTTTTGGATTACATTTCCATTGTTTGTTGTTCACATGGGACATTCAAGAAGGCAACAGAGGGAGATGACAGCTTAATATAAGAAAGTGTAACTGAATAAGAGGATTTTTGTATTTATTTGTTTGATTTATGTGTCTGAACATGGCTTTTGCTTAAGCCTTAGTTACACCAATCTGAAATTTATAAGCTTCAAACCTCTTAATTATTCAATTCAATTCAATTCAATTCAATTTTATTTATATAGCGCCAAATCACAACAAAAGTCGCCTCAAGGTGCTTCATAGATACAGAGAAAAACCCAACAATCATATGACCCCCTATGAGCAGCACTTTGGCGACAGTGGGAAGGAAAAACTCCCTTTTAACAGGAAGAAACCTCCGGCAGAACCAGGCTCAGGGAGGGGCGGCCATCTGCTGCGACCGGTTGGGGTGAGAGAAGGAAGACAGGATAAAAGACATGCTGTGGAAGAGAGACAGAGGTTAATAGAGGTTAATAAAGTAAAATTATAACTGTAAGTACAATATCAATAGTTTATAATAGTATGGGGTGTCTATGAAGAAGTCACTATTAAGGAAATAAAGCCAAGAGACAAGGCTGAGATATTCCAGATTAGACAAGAACAGGATTGAAAATGAGGGGCAACAAGTGTCATTGAGTAATGAACCCAAATTGTGACATTTTTGTGTCAAATTGTCATCAGTATGTGCAGAGGAGGTCAGGACAAAGGTATACCAGTGAGAGTCTGCCGGCTTTGGAGGCTTGGACATGATTACAAATAAAATTGAATTGAATTGTTTGGATCTTGATTTTGGTTAGTGGTGTTAGGGAGCTTTTCAAAATTGAAAGAATTACGAGAGCAGACGACGATGAGACCAAACACCCTTCAATGCAGTAAAAGCATACTTGGATACACAGCCATGGATTGGCCGTCCCAGAGCCTGGACCTCAATATTTCTGAAGCCGTATGAGGTCATTATGACAGAGAACAAAACAAAAGGCAGAAACATCCAAAGAACATCTTTGAATGTTCTTCAAGAAGCCTGGAGAACTCTTCCTGAAGACTACTAAGAAATTGTAAGAAAGCTTGTCTCAGAAATTTCAGGCTGTGATGAAGAATCAAAGTGGTCATAACAAAAATTGATTGTTTTTGCCTTACATGTCCATATCTATATACATATTTACATATCTATATTATTGCTAATATATATTGTAATATATCTATATCATGGCTAAAGCACTTCTGGATGGATGCAAACTGCATTTCGTTGCCCTGTACCTGTGCATGTGCAATGACAATAAAGTTGAATTCTATTCTATTCTATTCTAAATGTGTCTACATATATTTTAATAATTAGATGCACCTGTTTCTCATTTTCTTAGCAACATATAGAGAAGTCAGTGCTATCTCGAGACTGTAGTATTATAGTATTATGAAATATTACTGATTAATATATACCATTTTTTTTGTTTGTTTTGTAAAAAAAAAAAGAAAAAAGTTCAATTCCATTTAAATAAATAACACTAAAAACACATATGCTGATGATTTCTGGATATCAATCTTCTGGATTTCCATTAAGTGCATCAACATGCTGGTCAGCAGAAGTTGGGCAAGAAAATGAATGAGCTAGATTGATGATGACAGAATAGATTTTAACAGCATGGGAAAGTGGACATAACCTAGCAGCCTTAACACCAAGAAAGCAGATCAGTGAACACAGATCTTCCTTACTGACTATATACAAGAACCTTATTAAATTAAGTTAATAATGAGTTTACTTTAGTGTTTTTACATAAAATGATTCATACTTTAAGTAATGCCATTTAATTATACATTTAATAAATTGTGCATATATGTCTGATTCTAATTAAATAACAAATCATTTAATCAATTTATTTTTGGCACTTTTGCCGTTCAATAGTCCAAATTGATAAAGTGAAATTGATTGAATTTGACCTGAGCCAGTTAGTCTGCAGCACATATTGGAAAGACAACTGTGTTTCCGTCTGAGTTATTAGTGGTTTGTAAAACAGAAGGCTGAATGTCTGGTTTTCTTTGGAGTCAGTGGTTATGAAAGAAAAGAGCAGCAGTCAGGAGACAGAAATGAACTAAATAAATACATACTAATGAAGGAACCTAGCCAACGGCTGTGCCTTCGTGGTGTAAGACTACATGAAACATTAACCTAAAAGAAGTAAATTATAAATTTGTAAATGTAGCCAACAAAAAAATGAGATAAAATGGGACTAGCTCTGAAAAGATTTTATAATGCTCAATTATTCATCTTTTTGTGTGTTTCTCACATTAAGTCTTTAGTGTTTCATCTAGGCTAACAGATGGGTAATGAGGTCAGCTGCCCTTCTTCTGTTTTATATATAAGTGTACATATGTGAGCGAGAGAGAGCCTCAGTGGGATCATTTTAAATCATTCAGCTATCAAGAACATTGCAAGCTGCATTCATAAACTGCATGTGATGCACAGGCACAGCTACCTGCTAATTAGTGCTAAGTAACTGGCTCGGTTTCACTCTCCAAAGCTGAAGCACATACTTTTTGGATGCTTTGTACCCCACAGCAAATTATATTATTCGTCTCATACTTCTGTTAAAAATGCTCCACAAATCACCACAACCAGAGGACCAGTTCACTGGAGGTGAGACCCAGCAGACGGCTACCTGGTTCTGTCATCTATGCAGTGTTGGGGAGTAACGGAATACATGTACCGCCCTTACGTATTTAAAATACAAAATATGAGTAACTGTATTCCGTTACAGTTACCGTTTAAAAAGGTGGTATTTAGAATACAGTTACTTTGTTGAAATAAATGGATTACACAGCGGTACTTCCCTGTTTCATATTGTGGCGGGTCAGGACTGTTTGGGTTTTGTTTTGTTTGTTTCTGTTGTTCCAGGTGGCAGCGTTACGGTTGCCATGGTTACAAGGTGCCGCTCTTTCTCTGCGTGTTTCCTGGGTGAGAGAGCGCCTGTTGTTGTTGTTGTGCTAAGCTAATTAGCAGAATGCTACAGGCATAGCTCTAAAGAATGTAGCATCATCAGCATGTAAATATAATAATAACCACTGCAGCCAAGAAGAGTGCCTGACGAGCCCAGTTGTAAGTAAGCTATTAAGACTTGACTGTACAGCGTGTTTGTGTTTTCCTCCAAAAACAACAAGTTCCGTTGGAGCAGCCTTTCAACGCCTCTCTCTGTCTCTCGCTAGCAAAGTTGACCCGGACAACAAAGTAAAGCTAGTTTTCGGTTATGAGCCCAACACAGAACCCACCGTATTAGCCAGAGGTCCCTTTACTACGGTTCAGAGCCGCGGACCTTCAGTAACAGTAATACATCACAGCAATAGTACATTCATGTAGTTGTAAACAGCATGATAATATATTAAGTAATCCAAAGTATTCAGAATACGTTACTCTCATTGAGTAACGTAACGGAATACGTTACAGAATACATTTTGGGGCATGTATTCTGTATTCTGTAATGAAATACATTTTAAAAGTAACCTTCCCAACACTGCATCTATGTTACCTCATCTGACAATCAAAATTTTATCAGTATCCAAATAAATAAATTGCTGTAGTAATAGAGCCAGAAACTGTTTTCTGTACCAACCTGTATACTTGCTTTTAATTCTGTTACTCTAAGTTGGGCATTTTAACATGGGAGTCATTTTTTGGCAATTTTTCAGCCCCGGAGGTTGATTTTAGATTAATTAACACTTCCTGGAAGGCGTCATCACACTTACACCAGGATAATAAGTTGTCATAAACACTCTTCTTCTCTCCAGTCTGTCTTCTGCTGTTCATCTTCTTGGTCATCGCTACCCGTTACCTCTCTCACACACAGACACACACACACAGTGACAGTAGAGGATGCGCAACCATAGCTGAGTGCAAAATGCACAAATGCACAAATGCTGAGACACTCAGATTGAGCTGCAATGAAACAAGGCCAAATAAATTACATAAATGTATGTTTATGCTTGTTGCCCGTTGTTCGTTACAGGGAGCTTCTTGGTATGGAAATACTCCACTGCATATTTTAAACCTAGTATTTGACTTCAACTAAAACTGCCTTCTTATTTTCCTTGTTCTTTAGGTCCAGAGTGGTACTTGGTCAGAGTGGAGTTAACGGTGACGGATGTAAATGACAACATCCCAGAATGGAGCATGGTTCCTGCTCCCTACCTTGCTGTGGTTTCCCCTGATGCCTCTGCAGGTTCCCTGGTCTACAAGCTCTTTGCTGAGGATGGAGATGAAGGCAACAATGGTGAAGTGGAGTACTTTTTGTCTGACGGTAGGTTAAATTGCTTCTTCTTTTTTTGCCTGCACAGTGTGTTAAAGATCAGGTTGACTGTTTACAGCGTCACAACAATCACAAAACAGGGAGGCAATAATGTGACGGAGGAGCTATGGAAGTGACAAGCTAACAGTAAGCAGCTAATAGCAAACATACAACTGCAATATTATATGAATCTTGTGTTTTTGTGTACTTTTGCAGTTTTTATATTTGATGGTTTTCTTAAGGTGCAGTGCATTTGACCTCGCAAGGCCACCATACCCACCATAGCAGAGCATTTGGCTCTTCACTAATCACACTGAAAAAAATAGACAAATTATATGCAAAACCTTTGAACAAAGAGACATTTGTTGGTGTTGGCATTTTTAATAAAACAAAAGTCTTAGTTGCATAAATCATTTGCTTGATTTAAAATGTTTTGTTGTTTTGATCAGTGCTTTTTTTATGTTCTGTATGGTGCAGACTCAAGTATACACTCTCTTTGAGCTGTTGCCCTCTGCAGTGCTGAGTTTTATGCGCACACAATTCTCCAGTGTCTTGTCTGGTTTTTTTTTTTCACTGTGCAAAATAATTGCTTTTGTTATTGTCTGCTTTGTAATGATTTCTTGTCTCTGTTTTAGAATCTGTTTAAAAAGATGATTTTTCAATTTTCCTCATGGGGATGCATTGGAATAAACTGACTGAAAAATTATGAGAAAAAACATAGACGTATTATTGTTAATATCTATGCTAAACTTTTCAATTTAAATGCTCAATCCCACCTCTCAGAGTTTAACTTCTAAAAATGCAGTCTATTTTGGATCAAGGTCTTATTGAATCCTGTTATTCTGAATACAGGTCATGAATTTTAACACCCCAGTTCCTGTGGTTTTTGCATTTTCCTTTCAGCAACTTTGAATACTGATTGTCCAGTCATCTTATTTTATTGGTGACTGCTTAGCATGCACTTAAATATTTCTGACAACTTTTGAAAGCAACTTTTGTGCAAAGTGTTTTGCTCTGTGGTCCTTTTCACTGGATGATCTCTGTTGTTGTGTGTTGCCTTGTTTGCTTATCTTGTCTTTGGTGTATTACCCTTTTGTATATGATCAAACAAATCGTCCGCAGGTGGTGATGGTCGTTTTGAAGTGGACAGGAAGTCTGGCCAGGTACGAACTACGGGCCTTCCCCTGCAGCGGGACAGGGAATACCTGCTGACAGTGGTGGCTGCTGACCGGCTGGGCAGCCGCAGTGCTCCTGCTGTCATCTCTGTGGTTGCTGGACCCCGGCCACCACAGTTTACCAATGCCTCCTTCACTATTGCAATACCAGAAAACACCCCTGAAGGACAACCGTGAGTTTACACACATTCATCCGCTGAAATCCCCTACAGGACATCTACATGAAACAATATACATGACATTGACTACACACACACACATCTGCTGTTTTCCTTTTACTATACCATGATTAATATTCATGATGAAAAATATTACTATTACTTTGTGTTTAAAGCGACACATTCATGATGGGCATTTAATATGTACACTTTTATTTATTTATTTATTGGCTGTGATCTTAGATCCTCGTGTTTTACAGACTAAATCCATACTGTGGCTCATTTAGCCTTTAGCATGTGTAGCACAGTAATAGGATTACCTTTAAATATTTATTTGCATACACAGTAAGAATAAGTAGTCATCGACATTTTTGCAGTCGCATTCTTAGCAGAAAGCTGTCTCTGGTGCCACATAGGGCTGTAACTTTTTTCATCATCTATCATTATCAGTGAGCATTAACCCTTTAAAGCCGGTCGGAGCGGGCACACTCTGTTTTGCATAACTATTTTTAAATCCCGGTAGCACTGCAACCATTAAGGTAGCGCAATAATTTTTTTTGCATATGAAACCGGAGGAGTTGTACTTACATCTTATGCCACCAGCTTGTCCTCGGTCACAGTTTCC